TATTACAAAATATTGATCATTAAATAGTTATTGATTTAAGACTTTCGGCCCCTCTCGGCCCCTATTTTGAGGGGCCAGCCCCTTTTTCTTCATACCACTTTAAAGCTCCTATGGTTTTGAACACTTTTTGTTCAACAACTATTCAGAAATTCTTTTTCGTTTCCGAGATATATGCAAAAGATATATTTAGGGGCCAGCCCTTCAACTCCTAAATGGGGACGTTTAGCAAAAATCGAAAGGTTACTTACTGTTTAGAACATTATTTTGAACACCATTTATTCAGTATTGCTTATCAAAACATTTCCCACTTTCGAGATATAAAGTGCCAAAGATTTGGACTTCTGGCCCCTTAGGGCCCCTAATTATGTAACATGTGATGTGAATATCATAATATATAGTTGTAAAATGTTAAGATAAACATTTTTGCTTCAGTAATGAATTGCAAAATATTGATTGTTAAAAAGTTATTGATTAAAGACTTTCGGCCCCTCTCGGCCCCTATTTTGAGGGGCCAGCCCCTTTTTCTTCATACCATTTTAAAGCTCTTATGATTTTGAACACTTTTTGTTCAACAACTATTCAGAAATTCTTTTTCGTTTCCGAGCTATATGCAAAAGATATATTTAGGGGCCAGCCCTTCAAGTCCTTAATGGGGACGTTTAGCAAAAATCGAAAGGTTAGATATTGTTCAGAACATTATTTTGAACATCTTTTATTCAATATTGCTTATCAAAATATTTCCCACTTTCGAGATATAGAGTGCCAATGATCTGGCATTCTGGCCCCTTATGGACCCTTATTATATAACATATCACATAAATTTTATAATATATAGTTGTAAATTGTTCAGATAAACATTTGTGCTTCAGTAATGAATTGCAAAATATTGATCATTAAAAAGATTGATTAAAGACTTTCGGCCCCTCTCGGCCCCTATTTTGAGGGGCCAGCCCCTTTTTCTTCACACCATTTTAAAGCTCTTATAATTTTGAACACTTTTTGTTCAACAACTATTCAGAAATTCTTTTTCGTTTCCGAGCTATATGCAAAAGATATATTTAGGGGCCAGCCCTTCAACTCCTTAATGGGGACGTTTAGCAAAAATCGAAAGGTTAAATATTGTTTAGAACATTATTTTGAACATCTTTTATTCAATATTGCTCATCAAAATATTTCCCACTTTCGAGATATAGAGTGCCAAAGATTTGGCATTCTGACCCCTTATGGACCTTAATTATGTAACATATGATGTATATATCATAATATATGGTTGTAAATTGTTAAGATAAACATTTTTGCTTCAGTAATGTATACCAAAATATTGATCGTTAAAGAGTTATTGATTTAATACTTTTGGCCCCTCTCGGCCCCTAATATGACAAGTCAGCCCTTTTTTCTTGATATCATATTAAAGATCTTGTCATTCTGCACAAATATTGTTCAGTATGTTTTTACAAAATAATTATACTTCAAAAGTTATGATACAAAATGTCTCAAAAATTCACTCATGATTCGTGTCCTAAATTTCGACCCCTACCGAGCTTCCATACTAGGCACTTCCGGAAAATATCCAAACCCAGGTGCAAAATGGCAACATGTCCTCTATCATCACTGAAAATTTCAGCGCTTTAGCTTAAGCCGTTTTTGAGTTCCATCGCAGACAAGGAGGTCCTCTAAATTTTGATAAAAGGGCGATTACTCCGGACCGGAAGTGAATTTCTAAAAATTGTTTAGCCGGAATTAACTTCAGATAACCTAGCAACAATCCTGAAAATCTGAAGCAAATCCATCGATCCATCTCCGAGAAATCGCCTGCACAAAATTTGTGCAGAAAAAAAGAATAATAATAACTAGATGCGATCTCGTTGCGAGCAACGAGTGGGTCTTCCGTCCGATTTTTGATTAGATGAGATATGAATTTAAATGAGATTTTCGTTCATGAATATATAGATAGTCAAAACATTCAATTTTGTACAATTTCTTCAGCTATGTTTCACAAAATTTTGATCATTAAAAAGTTATAAATAAAAGGTTTTCGGCCCCTCTTATGGCCCCCCAATAACGTAATATTTGATAAAAAAAATTTAAGATATATATAGTTGCAGATCGTGAACAAGAACATTTTTGTTAAAGAGTTACAAGTGGAAGACTTTTGGCCCGACTGAGTCCCTAATTTGAGGAGTCAGTCCCTTTTTCTTGATATCACATGACAGGTTTTGTAATTCTGAAGACTTTTTGTTCAACAAGTATTCAGAAGTTTCGTTTCGATATGTAGACTTGAAATATTTAGGGGCCGTCCCTTTAAGTCCTTAAAGGGGCTTATTAGGAAAAATTAAAAGGTTGCACATTGTTGGGAACAACATTCTAAGCAACTTTTGTTCAATATTGTTTTCCAAAATGTTTCCCCTTTTCGACATATGAAGCGTCCAAGATTAAGCATTCTGGCCCCTTATGGCCCCTAATTACGTAATATTTGAAGAAAATTTTAAGATATATAGTTGCAGATTGTGAAGATGAAAAGTTTTGCTTCAATAATTAATATCAAAATATTTAACGTTAAGGAGTTATAGATGAAAGACTTTTGGCCCCCCTGAGCCCCTAATTTGAGGGGTCAGCCCCTTTTTCTTGATATCACATGAAAGGTCTTGTAATTCTAAAGACTTTTTGTTCAACAAGTATTCAGAAGTTTCGTTTCGTTTTCGAGATATGTGGACTTGAAATATTTAGGGGCCGTCCCTTTAAGTCCTTCGCAGTACAGTTAAGGCAACATTTTCTATAAAAAGGCACCAAAAACGAGACACTTAAAGTTCAACCGTCTTATTTTTTAGTATGAAACTCTATCTGAAATATCTTAATGGCTTTATGAAGAGTTTGTCCATCGCTTTTCACATCGGTATTTTTTGTCATCATGTGACCCTCTACAGTCACGTGAGCTCCGATTTTAGGTCAAAATATGAAATGTCAAATTTAACCAAAAAGTGCAAGGGCAAGGCATACAATATTTGAACTGAACAATGTTTCATTGTGTCCCTTAGTATCTATTCTATCGAAAAACTGATGCTCATTCAGTCAGATTTCTGAGATATTTAAGTTATTCATTGAAAACAAACACCAGTATTCAAAAATAGGGTATTTTTCATCATTTAATCGGAAATTTTAAATTGCCTAATGAATTACAAAGAAATGAGCATCACTTTTTAAAAACTATACAATAAAGTAAAGAATTTAAAATAAAAACCTACCTCTTGGGTTGTCGCCTTGCCCTTGCACTTTTTGATTAAAAATTGAAATCTTAACACAATCATTCTAAATATAGTTTTCAAACGCATCATTGACCCAGCATGGGAGATAACTCTGTGGTACTTAATAGAGTTTGTGTACCTCGCAAATTTTGAACAAATAATACCTATATACGGACTGTGTTGGGCTTTATTTCATTAAATCAAATCGGTATGTATAAAAAAAATCCTTGACTTTACTTTGTTTTATATATCTTCGTTCTTTTATACGCTACACAAGACGTATTTGACACCTACCGCATTTCCTCCGTTCGTCAACAATAGGCCTAAAATTTGCCGCAACATCATGTAAATCAATTGGAAAATGCCCATGGTTAAAAATATAAAAAGATTCAATAATTTGTAATACAAAATAGACAGCCGCTATCAATGATAAAATATTTATTCTTCCCCATTAGACACACAGAAATAATATCTCCAACAGAACTTAGTTGTTTTTTTTTTTTTTTTTTTTTTTTTTTTTAATACATGTGTGATTATTTTAGTTATCAAACCTTCAACTGTTTAGGGATTCTAGACTACGTTAAAAGTTTTAAGAACAGGAGGAAGGGATTGGGGTGCTTACTCCTGTATTTAATAACCTGTTTTCCTTTCTACAGATCTACCCCCCCCCCTCCCCATCACTAGTTTGCCTCTGGCTCCTTTGATACCATTTACCTTACTTGCATATAAAAAAAATAAATTATTTAACAGTGTTTACATCAGGTTTTACTTCTTTGGGTATTTAGCACAAATCACATTTGGGGGGGGGGGGGCTTTAGTCTCATATTTTTGAGTTATTATCAATCCATGCACAAACAAGAAAATCATAGTAAAACTTTGTAATCAAGAAACATAGCTGTTAAAGAACAGGTGAACACAATATACATGCTGAAATTAAGATCTTGTTGGTACCCAAAAGCACAGACAGGCGCGTAGCCAGATTTGAAGTGAAATGTACGCAGAGAACGGCTGAGGTCCGCTTTGAGACCCCCCGTTGGTCCAGGGCGAAGCCCTGATGAGGACCTACATGTAGGGGCGAGGTACCTGGAAGCTCATGGGTTTTACCAAATATTTCATTCAAAATCATGCCATTTCAATTTTCTTTAGAAAATACAAGACATAGTACTTCACATTGTTTTTAACACAAAGTTAAATAATTTATTGTACCTGTAGAGGCTGAATATTTTTTAAAATGATATATTGGTATCATCTACTCTTCTTTAACTTTCAGCAACAAATATAATTAATTTCAATTATTAACAAAAATAATGTTACATTTCAAATCATATTCTAGTGGATCACAGCATTCAATGGTTGATATTTTCTCAAAGATCTTTAAAAAAAAATTATCAGTGTGTTGTAGAAGAATTACAAATTAATAAATCATAATGTTTTATTTGGTTGTGGCAATGATTTAATGAAACATTTCAATTTTTCAAGACATGGTAATATAAAATTTGAATTTCAATCGAAACAGTACGAGATAAAATAATTTGAAACACAAATATTTGCTGGGTGGTATTGATATTTTTTCTCTTCTCACAAATCTCTCCCCCCCCCCCCCCAAATCCCATTTTTTAAATTTAAAAACTATGTGTACACATATGCTTATTTGCATATAGGCAGTTACGCGCCTGTCAGAATACATTCAAGTAAAGATATTCAAATCTTAACAGCCGTCAAACTTTCACACCATTGTACTGTTAAAAATTCAAAGTATTATTTATCTAGAAAATTTATTTAATTAAAAACAGCTTTTCAAATTCAAAGGCAGGCTGTGAAGGGATTTCTGAGCAGGTGCAAAATATTTCAAACAGTCCACAGTTCAAACAGTTCTTCTGGATGAAATCAATTCTGAAAACAAAATGAAATACCATTATGGAAAGTTCATTGGTGTTTTAAAAAAGTGATACTCAAAACAATGCATTGAGTAACATGGAAAGCATATATATGACTCTACTGTTTTTATTATCAAAACATTTCAATAATCTTGCTAGGAATATGTATGGTTTAGAGCTTATATGGAGCATACCTTTTTATTTTATTGGTGGAAACACTTGCTGCCTGAATAAATTGTTCAAATTGTTTGGGAGTAGCTACAACACAATATATATGTAATGAGTGAGAAACACAATGATTACTATTGTAGAATGAAATGACATTGCATTGTACAAAACAAACCATGCTATACTATATTTTCTGAAATTCATAAAATAAATGGAAACAAACTTTTGATACAAAACTTTTCTGGGAAATTGAAACCTACGACATTTGCAAAAGTAGAATTGGTAGCTATACTTAATTTAAGTAAAAAAAAAAAATCAATAGTATAGAGATAACATTTAATTCTTTCACCTATACAACATTAAAAAAATATTTAACACTGGCATACCATGAAATTAATGTGAAATGCTTTAGTGTGATCATACCTGGTGGAGAAATTGATGCATCTATTTTGATAGTTCTAGCTGATGTAAATTCCAGTTTTAACCAGTTCTGTGACAGCTACAATGACAAAAGAATTATACATATAAACAGAACATAAATACATGTATATACATATAAGACTGACTTAATGTACATGTAGTCAGACAAATGAAAATTCAAACATTTTATTACATTAATGTAGAAATTCCACAAATTTACAGCCTAGTGATACAGATAGTAAAAGTTCTATGATGAATTTAAAATATGAAGCACTGGTAAAAACTGAAATCTTATTTTAAAAATTCACATATTTTTGATTGCCAGAGGTATAAATTAAAATTTATAGGGTCTTATACTCTTGTATGTACAGTGCACATACATTGTACACTGTGCAGTTTGACTTCACAAATACATTGTGTGACTGCATCTAAATTATACTATTTGATATCATGACGTGCTGTGCTTATATTATGTTACATGTTTGTACATGTATGCCAAAGGACAACATCATTGCATGTTTAAAAGTGTGCAACTTTCATAATGTGTGTGTTTTGTTTATGTGTGGGAAGGGGGGCCCGGGGGGGGGGGGGGGTTACACACAAGGCACTGCATTGTAGTTTGTGACGGACTGTAACAATACATCTTATTGTACATGTTCACGGTTATTTTACATCGATGTAAAGAATAGTATGTCTACATGTTAATACATATGCACATACACACCTTAATGAACACAAAGGGACCTAGGGAGGTAGTGCGGATCGTCTCAGTTTTCCATGTTTTCCCGAAATAACGTCATCATCTTCTCATCAAAAAGATAAACAAGGCCCAGGTCTCTTATTTTATCCCAATTCTCTTTAAAGATTGTCTGATTGTTGCATTTATCCAGTGCATATCTCAGCTGCTGTCGCCACGTTTTTAGATGTAAACAACATTCCGTGTCACCGAGTGCAAGCGCTTGACTGAAGCCGAATGCAGCCAAACGACACAATAAAAAGAGAATTATTTCGAAGACGCGTTGTTACTATATAAGAGAAAATCACTAATGTTTATTTATTTAAACCTGAAAATACAGACATTCATTACAAATTCTCGCAATCATCATTAAATAGCTTTTATGAGCTCTATTTCCTTATATGGATCTATCAAGGCGGAGCAACTGTCATGACGTCAAACCTCATTATGACCTCATTACCATATTATCTTCATGTGTAGCCTTAACTGTACTGCGTTATAGGGGCTGTTTAGGAAAAATTCAAAGGATGCACATTGTTGAAAACATCATTCTAAACAACTTTTGTTCAATATTGCTTTTCAAAATGTTTCCCCTTTTCGAGATATAAAGCGTCCAAGATTAAGCATTCTGGCCCCTTATGGCCCCTAATTACGTAATATTTGAAGAAAATTTTAAGATATATAGTTGCAGATTGTGAAGATGAAAAGTTTTGCTTCAATAATTAATATCAAAATATTTAACGTTAAGGAGTTATAGATGAAAGACTTTTGGCCCCCCTGAGCCCCTAATTTGAGGGGTCAGCCCCTTTTTCTTGATATCACATGAAAGGTCTTGTAATTCTAAAGACCTTTTGTTCAACAAGTATTCAGAAGTTTCGTTTCGTTTTCGAGATATGTGGACTTGAAATATTTAGGGGCCGTCCCTTTAAGTCCTTATAGGGGCTGTTTAGGAAAAATTCAAAGGATGCACATTGTTGAGACCATCATTCTAAACAAGTTTTGTTCAATATTGCTTTTCAAAATGTTTCTCCTTTTCGAGATATAAAACGTCAAAGATTTAGCATTCTGGCCCCTTATGGCCCCTAATTATGTGCCATACGACGTAAAAATCATAATATATAGTTGTAAATTGTTAAGATGAATAATTTTGCTTCAGTAATGTATATCAAAATATTGCTTGTTTAAGAGATATCGATTAAAGACTTTTGGCCCCTATCGGCCCATAATGTGATGAGTCAGCGCTTTTTTCTTGATATCATGTTATAGATCTTGTCATTCTGCACAAATTTTGTTCACTATGTTTTAACAAAATAATTATACTTTAAAAGATATGACACAAAATGTCTCAAAAATTCACTCATGATTTGCGTCCTAAATTTCGACCCCTACCGAGCCTCCATACTAGGCACTTCCGGAAAATATCTAAACCCAGGTGCATAATGGCAACATGTCCTCTATCATCACTGAAAATTTCAGCGCTCTAGCTTAAGCCGTTTTTGAGTTCCATCGCAGACAAGGAGGTCCTCTAAATTTTGATAAAAGGGCGATAACTTCCGACCGGAAGTAAATATCACTTAACGGAATTGCCGGAATTAACTTCAGATATCAACGCATCTACCACGGAAATTTGAATAAAATCGAACGAGCCATCTCCGAGAAATCGTCTGCACAAATTTTGTAAGAAGAAAAAAGAATAAAAATAATAATAACTAGATGGTTCTCGTTGCGAGCAACGAGTGGGTCTTCCGTCTGATTTTGGATGAGATAAGTCAAGATCTTGACTGAGATATTCGTCTATAAAAAGTGAAAGGATGCATATTGTTTATAACATTATTCTGAGCATCTTTTGTTCAATATTACTGATCAAAATATTTCCCCTTGTTCGAGGTGTCAAAGATTTGGCATTCTGGCCCTTTATGGCCCATTATTTTGAACACACGATCAAAGTTTTATAATATATAGTTAACGAATGTTAAGATGAACATTTTTCCTTCAGGAATTTATAACAAAATATTGATTATTTAAAAGTTATAAATGAAAGACTTTTGGCCCTTCTGGGCCTTAATTTGAGGGATCAACCCCTTTTTCTTGATATCAAATGAAAGTTCTTGTAATTTTCAGAAATTTCCTTTCGTTTTAGAGATATATAGAATAACAATATTTAGGGAGCAGCCCTCCGAGTCCTTAATGGGGATGTCTTGCAAAAGTTAAAAGGGTGTATATTGTTTAGAACATTATTCTGAACATCTTTTGTTCAATATTGCTAATCAAAATAATTTCCCTTTTCGAGATATAAAGTGTCAAAGATTTAGCATTCTGGCCCCTTCTGGACCCTTATTACGTAACATACGATCAAAATTTTATAATATATAGTTGCAGAATGTTAAGATGAATATTTTTCTTCAGTAATTTATAACAAAATATTGATCATTAAAAAGTTATAAATGAAAGACTTTTGGCCCTTCTGAGCCCCTAATTTGAGGTGTCAGCCCCTTTTTCTTGATATCAAATGAAAGGTCTTGTGATTTTGAAGTTTTTTTGTTCAACAACTATTCAGAATATTCCTTTCGTTTAAGAGATATATAGAATAACAATATTTAGGGGCCAGCCCTCCAAGTCCTTAATGGGGATGTCTTGCAAAAATTAAAAGGATGTTTATTGTTTAGAACATTATTCTGAACATCTTTTGTTCAATATTGCTTATCAAAATATTTCCCCTTTTCGAGATATAAAGTGTCAAAGATTTAGCATTCTGGTCCCTTATGGCCCCTTATTACGTAACATACAATCAAAATTTTATAATATATAGTTGCAGAATGTTAAGATGAACATTTTTGCTTCAGTAATATATAACAAAATATTGATCATTAAAAAGTTATAGATGAAAGACTTTTGGCCCTCCTGAGCCCCTAATTTGAGGGGTCAGCCCCTTTTTCTTGATATCAAATGAAAGGTCTTGTGATTTTGAAGTTTTTTTGTTCAACAATTATTCAGAAATTTCCTTTCGTTTAAGAGATATATAGAATAACAATATTTAGGGGCCAGCCCTCCAAGTCCTTAATGGGGATGTCTTGCAAAAATTAAAAGGGTGTATATTGTTTAGAATATTATTCTGAACATCTTTTGTTTAATATTGCTTATCAAAACATTTTCCATTTTCGAAATTTAAAGTGTCAAAGATTTAGCATTCTGGCCCTTATGGCCCCTTATTACGTAACATACGATCACAATTTTATAATATATAGTTGCAGAATGTTAAGATAAACATTTTTGCTTCAGTAATTTATAACAAAATATTGATCATTAAAGAGTTATAGATGAAAGACTTTTGGCCCTTCTGAGCCCCTAATTTGAGGGGTTAGCCCCTTTTTCTTGATATCAAATGAAAGGTCTTGTGATTTTGAAGACGTTTTGTTCAACAACTATTCAGAAATTTCCTTTAGTTTAAGAGATATATAGAATAACAATATTTAGGGGCCAGCCCTCCAAGTCCTTAATGGGGATGTCTTGCAAAAAATAAAAGGGTGTATATTGTTTAGAACATTATTCTGAACATCTTTTGTTCAATATTGCTTTTCAAAATATTTCCCCTTTTCGAGATATAATGTGTCAAAGATTTAGCATTCTGGCCCCTTCTGGCCCCTTATTACGTAACATATGATCACAATTTTATAATATATAGTTGCAGAGTGTTAAGATGAACATTTCTGCTTCAGTAATTTATAACAAAATATTGATCATTAAAGAGTTATAGATGAAAGACTTTTGGCCCTTCTGAGCCCCTAATTTGAGGGGTTAGCCCCTTTTTTTGATATCAAATGAAAGGTCTTGTGATTTTGAAGACGTTTTGTTCAACAACTATTCAGAAATTTCCTTTAGTTTAAGAGATATATAGAATAACA